AGGAATCAACAGGTGGTAAATGATCATATTTGATGGATATACCATCGGTAAAATGTGACAATATGGTTTACAACCAACTGTATGTACAAATCAAAGCTAAAGATTTTATAAACAGTTCCAGAATCTCTCATATATTGAACAAAAACATGAACCTGATTGCAGTCCTTATGACTATCGCCTAAGTCACATAGGATATGCTTTTCCAAAATCACACCGCCACTCAGACTTTAAGTGGAGAAACACCAGACCTCTCCTTCTCCACCTGTGATTCCGCCACGGACTCGGACCTCTCTCCTCTTAGAGCGGAGGCAACTCGACCTGAGGGGATGCAGCTCAGATCACCTGAACTTGAAGTCACGAGGGAATTTGGATCCTATACTACAGGATATGCATAGTGATTGCTATAATTAAAAAGTGAAAGTCATGATACTGTCCAACTGATATGGGAGAGTATAACTCCGTCACATCACCCAACAGCCAGGTTGAAAACTGTTCAATAGATCCACTGCTATTCTGATTTATGGAAATCAGAACATGTATCACCCAACAAAACAAACAACTTTGTCAATGTGAATTTACTCATGAATCCATGACTAGAATAAGCTATGATACCATTCGATTGTAGCAGTCATCCGCATGTGCTATCTCAAGGCACCAAAAACACAACCCAAAAGGACATCAGCCCAGCGCAAAACGCGCAGCTGCTGTGGTCCCTACAATGCCTCCGTCATTTGAAGAGGCTTCCTGGGGTGCTGACATCATTTGATATCTACTCTCCGGTGTCATCAGCGACATGGCTAATCCATTTTATGTTTACTGTCTTCTTTAAAAACAACACCATCCATCCCCAAAACCTTTGGAACCGTCGCGTTTATTATTAAAGATAGAAAATTGCAGCATATATATATATAAGTACATGACCCTGAGCCAAGGGTCAGGATGCCAGGAATCTCCCATTTGCTAGTTCTGTCTAACCACCACACAGTCCTGTAATCGCATGCCAGGACCAAAGGAAACCTTCAAAGCCCAGATGGACCTGCCAGTCAGGACGCAAAAACGACGACAACTGATGAAGGTGATGAGGATGATGATGATGGTGATGATGATGATGAGGATGGTGATGATGATGATGATGAAGGTGATGATGATGATGATGCTGATGATGATGCGGTGATGATGATGATGCCGATGATGATGATGATGATGATGACGATGATGATACCGATGATGATAATGATGATGATGATGATGATAATGATGATGATGATGATGCTGATGATGATGACGATGATGATGATGATGCCGATGATAATGATAATGTCAAGCCGACCATATGGGGAGCTCAACTTGTTCCTGGTGACAACCACCAACAACAATGGATATGCATCACCTGCCCCTGCTTGTGTTTTGCTTTCCTTTCTGCAACTCCATGTAGAACCAGGGCTCAGTCGCACATGGAAAAAAGCCCTTTTAAATCCCATTCCTGTCAGTTTGATTTTTTATTTTTGTCAATACGTATCATCTAAATAAACCACACTTCTTCCTAAACTACAGCATCCACGGCCGCAGCACCTTACGCAACCAGCACGTAGTGGTCCGCATCGTACCCGACACCGTGCAGGGGCACATTGTCACCTCGTGGGAATTCATGAGGCCACTGTTATGTACCATGGGTATAACAAGACAACATGGTACCTAAAGGGCTAACGTGAAGGGTTTGACTTTCAGCCGCGGAAACACCACTGAACCATGCGTGTCGATCGAACATGTGGGAAAAATTATGGGGAACATATGGGTATAACATAGTGAGAGCACTAAAAGCAAACGGATTGGAACTTTCATGGCTGCACGATGGAAACGGATGCCTTACCCCTTTGCTGAAAGCATCCGCCTAAGACAAAGAAAAATGCTTGCGAACTGCATGTACTTGCATGGATTCCATCTAATATATCTCAAATCACTGTAAAACTGTGAAGGTGAAACTTAGATTCGCAGTTTGACAAACACCTTCCTCAAAGAGACTAGCAGACTGACTTCTATGTCTGCCTGACCAAAGCATTGTTTTGCCCATGAGGCCGCCAACCCAGAATGGACGACAAAAGCAACTATGAACACACACGCTCCTTCAAGATTTTCTCTCTTTGCCTCTTCTGCTTCCGGTACCTTCAACTTGCTTTTGCAAAAGGCTCGACTCCGCCAGGATGTGGAACCAATTGTCCCACCCCAAGCACTGGTCACGGAAAAGAAAGAACTGGAACTATGTCCCAGGGAAAGCCGCCAAGGAAAAAATTCAAAAGGGGGCCTTCACACTGCCAAGCGGACCGCAAACGATGCTCAACAATCGGTCTAGTCATCATCATCGCCAGCATCAATGGCGGACTGAACAGATTGCAGGTGCTGAGCAGCTTCCCTCGTACCTCAGACACTCAGCGAATACTGCCAATCATGGGATATGATACTGTTACACAATATAGTAACATAGGGTCTTCGGACTGCCCATAAAAAATACCCATGACAAATAAGAAAGGCCAAGGCCAAGGCACTGACCAATAGGATCTCTTCCAGCCTGTCCAAGCTGCGACGTCGCTTGGATGCATTGCCACCTGCCGGTCTGCTTGCGTGCAAAGACGCCGCCAAGCTCTGAGCCGTGGCCAAACGCTTCTGCGCCTGCTGTCGCCGTTCCGAAGCCTGTGACAGCATGTCGACCAATGATTGTGGAGGCTTTAGAACACTAGGCCCCACAAATTTAATGTGCGGGACAACCAAAGTGTGTCATGTCATCCACCACCAATGACATGAGACCCTACCATAGGCCTGTTGGCTCTGCTCCTTGTCTGCCATCGTGATTTCACGAACTCGCCCAAGGCCACGGCCGACCACGGCCTCAGAAAACGCTTGTAGCTCAGCTGCCGTGCACCAGCATTCCACCTTCAATTGCGCACCACGCTTCAGAGGCAGCGCAAACTTCCAATCGAGACTCCTGAAAACAAGATGGGGCAATCTTTCTACACCCTTAAACATCATCTTTGCCCCGCCATTTCAATGGCACACAGAATGAATTTGCATAGCAGACCCAATGAAGCTCTGCTTCTATTTACACCTGCGAGAGGTAAATGCAATAGGACTCTCACTTCCGTCATCTCCCTGGCCGCTATATTGCCAAGGAACATGATCCCACCCAGAAAAAGCTTGGCTGCATCACGGCCATTGTTGCCCCCACCGAAGAACTTAGGCTCGAAGAGTTCCAGCATGAAAGCCCGCAGCTCTTTCAAAGGAGGCCCCGGTGTCGGCAATGCCTCAGCGAAATCCCCGTCAAGTCAATGACAAAGTACAGCACAAACGGAGATTCTCAGAAAAGACCATTGATACTTCGATTTTGACAAAAGGGGGTTGGGTTCAAGAGATGAGGATTAGAACAAGATGTTTTTCTTATCAACGAAGATGGACGTTCAAGCAACCGATACATTCACGATTGACGAATAATTGGTGAACACATTGATCAATAGTGTGCGAAAAACACATTGAAGCTTCTTTTGAGAGAAATAGGGTAATTGATGCTCCAGGTGTCCATATTTCAGTGTCCATTTCTTTAGAATTGATAAATTGAACATGTTTCATGAAAGGATAATCATTTCCATAGGAAGGGATGTTGCTTTGCAGGAAAAGAACATCCTCTCAGGGCCTCCGTCCATCGCTGTTCCTTAAAACGAGCAACATTAGAGATGGGATGATGACCCTTTTTTTTGTGGCTGAGATTGAGGCATAGCCCAAATATTTACATGTACAATATATAGATGTACATATATATTGAATTTCACGAGGTCTTGGGGTTTTGGGATTTTTACGGTATATTGGGTTTCAAAGTCAAAATGCATCATTTCGAGCAACCTGCGAGCAGAAGGGTCGTGAGGAAAAGTGTTGAATGTTGTGATTTTTGTTGAATCAGTGGTCCACAGGTCCAACTGGCGTTCCAGAGAAACTGAAACAGTCGGAAACAGTCGGAAACAGTCGGAAACAGTCGGGAGCGGCCCGGCGTGATCGTGCCAAAATTGTCAATCCGCCATTTTTTTGCAAAAAAAAAGGTTCCGCACAATCACCTTTTTTTTTTGAAAGTGCAACGGGAAACAGTTGGAAACAGTTGGGGCTCGTACCTTTGACTCGGCAAAAAACGAGCTATTTAAAACCATTTAAGGTTCATTTTCTTTATAAACTGGTTTTAAATAGCTCTTTTTTTGCCGAGTCAAAGGTACGAGCCCCAACTGTTTCCAACTGTTTCCCGTTGCACTTTCAAAAAAAAAAGGGGATTGCGCGGAACGTTTTTTTTTGCAAAAAAATGGCGGATTGACAATTTTGGCACGATCACGCCGGGCCGCTCCCGACTGTTTCCGACTGTTTCCGACTGTTTCAGTTTCTCTGGAACGCCAGTTGGACCTGTGGACCACTGATTCAACAAAAATCACAACATTCAACACTTTTTCTCACGACCCTTCTGCTCGCAGGTTGCTCGAAATGATGCATTTTGACTTTGAAACCCAATATACCGTAAAAATCCCAAAACCCCAAGACCTCGTGAAATTCAATATACATATACATATACATACATATATATATATAGTATATAATATTCATACATATATATTATATGTATCATATACATCATATGTATTTATATATATATATATCATATATCATATATCATATATCATATTTATATATCAGCAATATATACGCATCTATATATATATATACCAAGCCTCTCTAGCCAGCGATCATAATGCTGTATATATCAACCTGCGAAAGCTGCCCCAACACCAACTTTGGCCCGAGACAACGCACCGATATTTACCGACGCACTCTTAAGTCTCTAATCATCCCCTTTCATCTGGATCCAATCCACAGCTCCTCACTGCTACAGGTTACTTGGTCATTCAGACCGATACCACCACCGCATGCCTATGACCATCAAGGCTGCTACAATGATACATGTAACAATAGCTCCTCTATCGGCCATCCAAGGAGCTGCTTTGCTGCACGGCTTCAAAGACTGTGCATCCTCCATGACTGCATCCTCCATATTGCCTTTGGTCGGCTTGACTGCCTGCCAATGGCCAACCCCAAATAGTTCTGGCTACCTTAAAAGGTTGCCTTTTCCCACGGCAAGAAATGCCAATGGCCACAACAAAAACAGTTTTCTGTGCGGCTGTCATGTGGACTTGCCCCAACTCACATTGACCCCCACCAACCTGGATGTGGCCATCTTTCAGAGCCGCAAGAACTAACTCTTCATCAGCAGGTGCAAAATGAAGTTGCATGGCACCACCTTCGCCCGCCATGAACTCCACCTTCACCTTCTTGGCCTGCGAAGCACTGCACAGGACGGGTATGCAACTAGGTTACCATTGGTTACCCGAGGAACAGCAATGAAGCCACTATCCTACCTCTGCCAACAACTTCTGGCGCAAGGCACTGCGAAGAAATCATCAGACAGCTTCCCGACTTCTTTGTCCTCCCACAGCTTGCGCAACTCTTCCGAGGCAGAGGGCAAAAGGCAAACACTGAACGCCATTGCGTCACAGGGCGACCACACTACAGTCACAAAGCCGGGCCAAAGTCTTGCTACAATGGCGTGGCTCACCCACAATGATTCGTCAAAACAAAATACTCCCTCTAAGAATTCACCAAATCGTGCCTGCTCCACATGTCTGTGCAACAAGGCAAGCTGTGAGAGTCATTGAGCCTGGGACTAGCCCCACGTCTGGATCCCAACATCCAAACTTGCCTGCACAGCCCGATCTGGTATGATCACAACAAAGTCCATGGACACACCAACAACTTCACCTAGACTTGATCCAGATAAAACGCTCAATAACTTGCCATGTGTTCAGAATTTTTCATGTTAAGACACCCAGACCCTGGAAGAAATTCTCGACACTAGCAGCCTCCAATGTCACGACTTTTGGCTCCATTTGAGGAGCCCCAAAAACAAGACACGCATGACACCCACTTAACCACATAAGGTTTGACATTTGGCCAACACATGGTTTCTTAGCGTGATTCCAAAACTTCTGTTCAGCATGGAAGCATTGTTGCACCAAAACAGTGCTATGATCCACAAATTCCTTTGCAAGCCATCTATGCTCTTATCAACCGTTCATCCACCACGACAGCAAATATATATAATATATATATATATTGATATACATATATATTTATTCATATAAATGACAATTTCCATGGTCAGCTTGTGTTCAAAAACCCACACTCCCAAGATGTTCAACTGGACTGTCCAAAATCTACGTTTCTGGCTCCATTTGAGGGGCCCCATAAACCGCCCAAGGGAAATGCTGGGCTGGCCACCTGCTTGCTCGCAGTGCTCCTGCAGCGGATGTTGTCAATAAAAACATATTCAGGATTGTGATATGAACTGAGAGATAAATATATATATATATATATGTATGAATATATATGAATATATATATATATGTGTGTGTGTTATATGTATATATTATGCATGTATACTATATATGACAACTATCCATGTGTGGGGCAACTTTTATGTTGAGATACCCAAACATTCCATTTCCAAGGTCTTCTTTTGTTCAAAACCACACTTCCAAGATGTTCAACTGGACTGCCCAAGACCTAAATTTCTGGCTCCATTTGGGGAGCCCCATAAACCCCCCGGGGAAATGCTGAAACCGGGAACCTGCTTGCTCGCGGCGCTCCTGCAGCAGATGATTTCAAAAGATAGGATTTGATGATATTGATATGAATTCGATGATGATGATGATGATGATGATAATGACCATGTTCATATGTATATAATTACAGATAAATGCAAAAATGACCATGTGGGCGTACCCTAAGATATGCCAAGTGACTCAAACAATGAAGCCCTCAACCCAATGAAACAGGAATCTGCCTATCTAGCAATTCTTGAGAATTCCTCAAAGCCATGGACCATTACACCCATGAATCACCCACATTCGTGTGCATCGGCTTGCCCCCCAGCTCCGCACCATCTGTGCCACAATTTCGACTGCGAAGACCTGCCACCCATGTCTCCGCACGCCTGACCAGGACACCGCTCCCATTTTCCCAGAGTACAAGACGTGACATCACAACCCCATGGCCAATTTCGATGCTATCACAATCCGAGAAACCACCATCTGGGTTACTAAAGACTCCAGCCACACTACCAGTCCTCTTCTTGCCCCATCAGCCCCATGCGAAACCTTTTCCACATCACGCCACACCATCAACGCCCAAGTCCATACATGACACATTGAATGGACAGGCCCTGCACATAGGAGAAATGCAAAAAACGGGTTTCACCTTCCACAAGTCCAGGCGGGCTCTGCACACAGGAAAAAAACAAAAAAGCAACCAACTCCGCTCTCCAGCTCAGATCGAATGCCACTTCTAGCTCATCTCTGAAAACTAATGACGACATCATCTTGAAACATACCCAGGCCTATGTGACAATTTTGTTGCGCTCAGACTGGTTACCTCTTGCCGCACTCGATCTAGCGCCATCGGAACATGCCTACAAGCTGGCTATCCGACATCACTCTACGCTGCCACTGTAGGCACATCACCCCTCAGTGCTCTCCTCTTCAAACGACATGATGTTGCCAAGGTTAGCATAGACTCTCAATTCCGATCCAGACACGTGAAGGCCTGCAATGACAATCTTCTGGTTGGGCACCAAGAGAGGATGCTGCGCAAGGCTATCAAATAGGACGATGTCGTATCCTCAGCTTGCACACGCCCAACACACAAATCTTTCCGAGAAAAAACCCACCTACCCCAGACACCGTCTCCCCATCGGATATAAATAACACACCAAACACCACCAATGCAGCTTCATCTGACAGCACTGCTTCTGCATCAAAGCCAAGCTTCGGTCATTGGTGGTGCTGTCAATGTCCGCCACCCTGACTTGGCGTCGGTGCTTTTCGCCCTCCCCGCTCAGCGGACCAAGCTCCACAATCTGCCCACCCACGGCCGCATAATAGTCGGCACCATCCCTGGGCAGCTCGTGAAGGTTCAACACGTCGAACTCCGCCTTCGCGAACTCCGACGCTTGCGGATGATAGTTCACCACCTGCACCGTCGACCTCAGAAATGGCCCCCGCCCACAACATGGGATGATAAAACCAGGTTAAACCACAGAGTGGAAGCTGGAGTCTGATCGACACTGCAATTGTATGATCTTTCCTCGGCGAGGTTGCCATCATAGCGGCACTGGCTAAATTTCGGAGCCTAGGTCAGTTAGGTCACAAATTCAGATTCAGAAATGGTTTACACTCAATCACTAGTTCAGCAGATTTTCATCATTGAAACCTTGTCTGGTTCGTGGTTTGGAACATGTTTTTTATTTTTCCATATCGTGGGAATTTCATCATACCAATTGACGAGCTCTACTCTTTTTCAGAGGGCTAGAAACATACCACCAACCATATCCATAGATTATCCATAGATTATCCATAGATTATCCATAGATTATCCATAGATTATCCATAGATTACCCATAGATTATCCATAGATTGTCCATAGATTATCCATAGATTATCCATAGATTATCCATAGATTATCCATAGATTATCCATAGATTATCCATAGATTATCCATAGATTACCCATAGATTATCCATAAATTATCCATAGATTATCCATAGATTATCCATAGATTATCCATAGATTATCCATACACCGTTCAACAAAAACTAAATGGCCTCACACGCCCCAACACAGCCACAACCCTTCCCTTCTCTCACTGAACAATCCCCCTCCAAGAGCAAGGCGCTGCAATGCTCCAGCCTTACGCTTCGAACCGTTGCTCACTGCGAGTTCACGGGAAGCAAGAGATGCTACAACCAGTGTTTCTGGTGCCAATCCCCCAGTATTCCGCCAAATGGGACGGATCTCTACGTCCTTCAGCAGAATTAGATCGTCAAGAGCAAGCCCACCTCCTGGGCAAATTTCACAAGAACGGTGGGTCCATCTTCGCCTGCACCTTTGATCACGACTTTGGTGGCCGGATATCGACCTTGGAATACCAAGTCAAACCAAAGATATCCCAAATCTAACCTGGAGACTTCGCACAAAACCAACTGGCACATAAAAATGCAAATCCTCCCCGGCTCATCCATTCCGAAACCCCTACACACTGCCAATAAATGCCAAGCTGCCACTGCTGAAGCCGAACTGGTACACGATACGCCCAAGGCACGACACACCGCCCAACGGCAACGGCTGCATGGCCACCAGCTCCTGGAGTGTCTTCACGGGCACCTCTTGGCCACCTCGACTCACAGAAGGTGCCGGCGCCGCCTTCGCCTTGTTGAACCGCCCCATTGCACTCACAAAGGCACGGAACTCTGAGCCAATCGCTAGGATGTTGCCAATTGAAAAGGGTCCGACACAAACCAACTCTCCCCGAAGACCCTGTGAGAGACATGAATAAGTATGCCATTGCTCTGAAATGTCCACATGTCGGTTGCACTTATACACCCACAAACTTAAATTGCGCAAGATCCCAACCAACGTGGCGAAATATACACATCTACACACACAAACACAAACACACCATATACACTAAAAATACCTACATATTCATATATACATAAGTACACATAGGTCCCTATACATACATGCATGCAATATGTATACAAATATATTTTCCCAGTGTCAATATACCTGTACATATATATATATATACATATAGAGATAGATATAGATATAGATATGCCCTGGCTCCCTGGGCAGCCTGGGCTGCTTGTGATTGAATCGCGGCAGCTGTTGGCCAAGCCCCCTGATGAGTTTCACTAGAAGACGGAACGAGGCTAGCTGCCAGATATCTTTACCTAGCTGTACATCTGCTCCATCAACCACATATGTGCAAAAATGTCAACTGGCGTCCGTGTACATTGTCTCACGTGTCCCAGACTGCAGCGCACAACAAACATCGCCTGACCACCATACAGTGGACGGACTGACACGCCAGCTTGGCCCTGAAAAAATCGAAGATGTACCAAGATCATCCAAGATCATCAAAACACCAGGCTGTTTCTATCAGCTGCTTCTGCCTGTCCACCTTTATTCTGCGGCCACGCCTGAGCCAAGTTGAAGAGCCCTCCCGGCGAAACGCTCGCGGCACCTTCAACGGTCCGCTGGTCAACAGGGCAGACTTTGTTGATCAAACATCAAGCCGCCATCCCCTTTTCTACAGTATATAGCATTGCATATTGTGCATCGTGTATGTAATTGATCGTGAATGTATATACATTTGTGGTAACAGAGTCTTATCGGTCCATTTACCGACCGTACTGATTGCAAGGTCGCCACGAGGATCGCCAAGGAAGCCTGTTAAAAAACAATTACATACAATTACTAGTACTAACAACATAAATCGAAAGAAATCCATACAGTTTGGGAATGGTTGGTTTTTCCATCACCATTTCCCATGGATTTCCGTTGTCAAACCACCATTTTCTGCGAGTTTCCCCGCTTCCAACTCCCGCGCAGCAGGCATCCCTGCGGCAACGGTCCAGGCCTCCAACCAGGCCAGCAAGGTGATGAGCGGCCAGGCCAAAGCACCCCCGGACAACCAGGCAAAATCCAGCAATGGCCATGGGGGGCTCATGGCATCCATGACGTAAATGACATAGGGGTAGCTAATTGATTGATACAAATGATATGAATGGTGTTGATAGAAATACAGATCATGATTTATACATTGCCACCGGTAAAACATGTCAATACTATGGGATGGCACTGTGCAAGTGCAAACAGGACTTTTTCTGCATTTGACCATGCTCTCCAAGCCAATCCTGAACTGCTTCAACTTCATGGTGTCTTCTTGACATCACTTCATTCATTGACATCACTTCTATGACTTCTATGTGCCAGCACCGAAATTGAGGCAGCCTGGTTCCAAAACATGGGACCGAGACTGCCATGACATTGTGTGATTCCGGGGTGTTTCTGCTTACAACACCCTGCCACATCTCGTGAAACAGAAGGCAAAAGAAAAATCCATATATCTATATATATATATATCCATAATACATGATAGATACTATAAATGCAACTGGAAAAGTAATGGTGATTTACCCTCTGGTACTGCCTGTCCCGCCCCCTTTAAAGGGGGTCGGCGGCACCAGGGCGCTAGCCCATTCTATACAGGAACCCCCTTTTTTCACGGGGGAAATCACTGAAGGCAGTTGATAAGATGTGATACCCTCCTGTAAACGTTTACAGTTTGCTATCGAACATCCATCATTTTTAATAGGTTAATCAACTATAAATAAATGGCGATTTTCAATAGCAAAGTGTAACATTCATTACCAGAGGGTAGCTGGGAGATGGTGGGGAATATGGAAACTGCAGAATCTGAAGTCTTACATGTCTTACATCTTTCTTTTTGGATGGTCATTTTTATATGGTGAGGTTTTGGGATGAGTTCTTGCCAAAACAGATGTGGTTGGAGTATCTGCCAAAACATGCAAAATAGACTTTCAATAGCCTGTGGTTCCAATGTACTATTGGCAAGCAAGGCTCTGCGAGAAGCAGGTCCGCTATTACAACATCACTCGAATCGCAAAGAGCTCCCTTGGTTGAATTTGTGAGGCCGTTCTGGTGCCTACAACATGTGACCATTCCCCGTGGATTTGCCAGTCACCAAAGATGAATACACAATCAACACTTACTCCGTGTGACTATGTAGTAGTCCCTCATCCTGCTGATTCTACGATTCACAAGAAATGCTCGAACTACAATGTGCTTGGTTGGTCAAATCACACTTTCACTAGGCTCTATCCATTTTTAGCCTGATGATCCTACAATGTGGGGCCCCAGTTCGATAGCGTTCAGTTGGTGCAAATAACTCCAATTTCACTATGGTTTATGGTACGCAAATAACTATAGTTACTGGGGCTTATAAACCAACAAACATCACTGGGGGGCCCCACATTGTACAATGTTTCATCATTCTTTGCTGCCCACTTGGTTTCCATCCCCATCTGGGTGTCGGATCGCCTGAACGGCATCGACGGCCCCCACAGTGGGTAGCAACAAATCTGCGGCCACCAGCCGTGCGTGTGCCAAAGCCTGGGGACGTCGGAAATTCGCCAAATTTCGACGGTAGATGCATAATACATAATTATATACTACACATACGTATATATATATAATATTTATCTATCTATATGTATCTTAATATATCTAAATAAATAAATACATAATGAATTATATATATATATTTACATAAGAATATGACGGGAGAAATAACTGTTGTAATGGTACATATATAGCCACTACGGCTCTGCAATCAGGTGGACAACTTCTGTCCAAAACATGTCGATGGGCTGCGATCTGGTGAAGAACCGACAAGTTATTGGGGAAGTGAATGACAAACAAAACATAAGAATGCAATACCCTCTGGTAAACAAACATAGCTATTGAACATGGCCATAGAAATAGTGGATTTTCCCATTGATAGCATGGTGGTTTCCATGGTTTTCTGTATGTTTACCAGAGGGCAATACAACTCCAAATTCAGGATTGCCGGGCTGTAATTAACTGCCAGTAATCCTTCCCTTGGGATTATAGCTTTAGTTTATAAATTGTAGGAGGCCGCCTCTATCCTGCTCAAGGAACAGACTCTTCGGCCAGTTGGTAGCTCTTCAGCACTTCCTGACGATGATTGAGCAGCGCGTTTGAAACCAAAGGGAAACGTCTGAAACTGCATGGTTGGTCAATGGCGATATGCAATATGATAATCCCAAATATATCGGGTAGTATGATCAGCTAGGCTATAGCTATCAACCAGCTGTATTTTTCTTGACTGCTCGGACTTGGAGGCAGGATGCATGAGCTTTCCTCCATGGTGGACCAATCATGTCCTTTTGAAAAAAAAAGAGGGGTTGGTATATCCTCCGGTATTCAAACATGGCTTGCAGGAGAACCCACCATTTATAGATGATTTTCCTAGCTATAAACCTCCACCTAGTTCGGGGATTGCCCAGCCACGTTTGATGACACTGGAGGGTACCATTTATCATCATTTACCTCACTGATTGCGACTGGTGATAACTGGTGGTAGGGATCGATGACTCAGAGGCGTCATCACTCAGCCAATGGTCCGCATGGTAAGGCCTTTTGCTTTCCGCGAATGACGAAAAATGACCCAAAAGGGGTGCTGCCGATACCAAATATGCCAACCCTGAACGTTACATGAAGCTGAAAGCTGCAGTGTCCAAGATCATTTGATATGGCCATACTGCTTGCTGCAAATGACACTTCAACACTGGAGCAGTTTCCACGGTTTGCAACCTAAGTACACCCAAAGACCCAAAAACCAACCAGTATCCAAAGAGTTATGGAAACCACCAAAAAAGCACAAGAAGTGTAAATCTAATGACACCAGCAACCCATTTCTCATGATTTATTGGCAAACATCACCATTTTTCTATGTTAAAATCAGTGATTCACTGGCAACATCCACATCTTTCATGTTTAATTCCCAATATTTTCCTGGTAAAATTCCACACTCTTTCATGGTTAAATCCATGATCAAAATCTCCATTTTTCATGGGTCAAATCCACAGTTCAAAGGGATTGCCAGCCAGTTGCCATGTTGCCATGGCCTTCCCAAGTTCCTCACCTGAAAGCGATAGATGTAGACCATGGCGAACAAGACGCCGCAGGCGCAGGCCGTCCACAAACCAACGAAGACGGAGACGGGGATGACACCACTGCGATTCAGATCCCAATGACCTCGACGGATGCTGAGATGCTGAGATGCTGATGCGATACCTCCCCTGATGTTATTTGACATGGAAGGTTGTAATATAGTCATTGATATATATATACTCATATATATATATAATCATATATATTTAATTATATATATAATTAAATATATATGATTATATATATATGATTATGTATATATATATGATTATATATAGTTAATTAATTAATTATATATATATATGTAGATACATATATATATGTATTGATATAGCAAGATGACCTGTTAAGGTAGAAATAAAAACTGCGAGAGTTTTTTGATAACACTGCAGGTCATCACTTGGTTCGTTGGACTGCACCATCCTCTGTGGGTATTTTGCTTGCCTGCCTCATGTCAATTCTTTACCCCTCATTCAATGGTGATTCAATGGTGATTTAATGGGATATATGATGGGATATATGATGGTATAGCCTCTGGTAATTTATTACATAGCTATTGAACATGGCCCAGTCGAAATAGTGGATTTACCCATTGATAGCATGGTGATTTTCCAGTTCGCAAAATGTAAACGTTTACCAGAGGGTACATTGATTGATTGGTGGAAAAATACAACTCCCAAACATATGGCCCAAATCTGAAAATATTATCCCAAAATGCCATGGTTTATCATCATTTTCCCTATTCCTATAGCCATTTGGGGGTACCATGTCCAGATTGGGATCATGCCATCCACTGCCATCGGATACACAGCCCATAATTGTTGCTTACATATTCTCCATCCAATCCAAGTTTTCGGTGATCACCCAAATCCGTAAGCTTATTTCACCATACTTACAAATCCATTTATGGAAATCACCCAAATCCAAATCCAAGTTTTCCCCATTCATAGCCACCATCCAACCATCTATGGTGATTTCCATAGATGTCCCAGCTGGATGATGAAAAAACTGGATCCTCTAAAGATTCATGGGGAAAAACCACCATGACTCAACGGAAACCTCCATGTAATGTACAGTTTTTTATGGGATCTTATGGGATTTAATGGGATTTATTAGGATATATGATGGTATACCTTCTGGTAAACGTTTACATTTTGCGAACTGGAAAATCACCATGCTATCAATGGGTAAATCCACTATTTCGACTGGGCCATTTTCAATAGCAACCTGTAACAAATTACCAGAGGGTATACCATCATATATCCCATTAAATCCTATTAAATCTCATTTTCAGTTTCCCCATGAAAACCACCAATTCGGCATCCGGATGCTGTCGGCAATTGGTCAAACGCGCCTGGTTCCGGCTCTACGAAATTGATCGCTTCAAAGCCGTCGTCCTCCTGAGCGAATGGGAGTGAACTATCATTAACTAGATATATAACCTGGTTATAGTTAATGGTTATAATATGTATATATATATAATGATGGTTATATATGTATATATATTATGATAGATAATGAATATAGTTTAATTATAGTAACCTGGTTATATATCTGGTACTAATTGATATGATAGTTAATTAATAATATAGTTAAACGAGATATAGTTAATGATCTAGCAATATTAAACCAGGTTATCATTAAACACATATATATATATGTATATATATTGTAACCTGATATATATATATAACCTGGTTATAGTAACCTGATATATACATATGTATGTATGTATGTATATATATATATCAATACTATCATTAAACTATCATTATACAGTTATAGTAGCCTGGTTATATATCTGGTTAAACTAATAATATCTAGTTGGTGGTATACCTACCCCTCTGAACAATATTAATCAGTTGGGATGATGAAATTCCCAAAATATGCAAAAACATGTTCCAAACCACCAACCAGATATAGTTTAACCAGATATATAATTCTTAGTTAATTAGGTGATCATGGGAGTTATGAAAATTATCTGAGTTATCATGAAAATAGCTTATTAATATTAACAAGATAAATCAAATAATTAATAGTTAGCAGATATTTTAGACATAACTAACCATAATTAACTCCCATAATTACCCCATAATTAATAAACATTTTTTTCTAAATCAGATAGTTTATTATCATAGTTGATTAACTCCCATTATCACCTAATATTAATCAACATATACTTAATCACCAGATATTAATGATATATTAATGATATGTTCATTGATCGTGGTTAATGATGTTTAACTCAGGAAATTTGTCATGGAAAAAATGAGTGGAAAATCAACTCTGGAGGAACTATGAGGTGAAATTCCGATAAGATTTCAAATCCAGGTCCGTTTCTTTTGGAACTCTCTGTTTAACCTAGGATGGCATTTGTGAACCAAGAATCATTCGGGAGATCATCGAATGAGACATGAGCAAGAATAGAGAAACAACACCGGCAGAGCCGCTGGAGCGGCTCCATCATATGGAGCTGGCTCTCCGCTAAGTTGCCTAAGCTCACAATAAAAAAACAAAATCATTCTTCTTCCTATGTTTTTCCATATTTTTCCTATGTTTTTCCATATTTTTCCTATGTTTGCATCAAACTTCGATCCATTCATAGAGGATGGGGCCCCCCAGTGATGTGAACGTTGGTTTATAAACCATTATATATAATCCCCATTAACTATAGTTATCAGTTATATCTACCATAAACCATTGTTATCTTGGGTGCCCCATCCATTCGTAGCGGATTTTCCCCAGAAAAGTCCCCGCTGGAGATTTCTGTGAAAAATCTCCTGATGGGCCACAGAGATCTTGCTTCTCACCTTGACAGCGATAGGAATGTCGTGATGGGGGGGACAAGGATCGTTTTTTTTTTTGGTTTCTGGCGCTACATTAATTACATGTATATATATAGTATATCAGTAATATAGATGATGTTCCTAATTGATGTACATATATATATATTTCCATCATATTTCATCTTATATACATCTATATCAACTATATTGCAGCAATGTAAGTAAATATAGTGTGATATTCATCTAACAAGAAACACTCCGTAGATGTAATAAATCCATTTTTTCCACCTGCTGGGTCTATATTTTTTTCAGCTTGGAATCCCAGTCATGGACATGTTTTGATAAGATTGTTAAGTGATAGATATGATCATTGGGGTTGTATCCCTGGACACCTACAGAAAATATATCCTGATATATATCCCAGTTATGGATACTTATGACTAATAAGTTGGGATTGACCGGTCGCGTTGAGGTTTCATATGGTTTCATAGTCATGGGGATGATTTGGATGATTTAAGAAATGGCTTAACAGTTAACCATTTGGATGGAGGTTTCAATAGTCATCAATTTTCATCAAATTGATGATTTGGTATAAGAATTTTGGGGACTAAAAATCTTCCTAAAAATGATTCTTAATCCAATTTGGATGATAGTCATGGGGATCCCCAAGCTCGCTGGATTTTTCAGGAAATCCATTTTTCATGTGGGTAAAACAATGCCATTTTGACCATCCCCCAGTCATCACCATGTTTATAGGTGGTATGGTTACCATTCCCAGTCATGGGTAGTTTATGACATTGTTTTAACCACATTAATATATCATTAATCATTATTGTAATAACCATCAACTAGCCATGAAAACCACCATTCATAACATTTAACCATTGTTTTGACCATAGTTATTGGAGTTATAAGCACCATTAACCATTACTAATAACCATTAATAACCATTACTGGTTGGGTGTTTGGAACCATGGAATTTTATGACTTACCATATACTGGGAATTTCATGATCCCAACTGATTTTCACTCCATCATTTTTCATAACATTTAACCCTCTGGTAATTTAACATAGCTATTGAAAATTGTCATTTATAGTGAGTTTTCCTATTAAAAATGGTGATTTTCCATAGTTATGTTAGTTTACCAGAGGGTAATAACCATCAAAAAATGGATGATTTGGGGGTACCCCAATGACTTGGGAGTTTGCTCCGGAAATCTGCCGGTCATCCACTGATGCCAAGACACTTTGGACACGGTGCTCTTTGTGGGTGACACACCCAGACCTGGACTTCGGAACACGAAAAAACCGAAAGGAATGGAGATTTTCTGCTGAACTACATGCAAAATTACTACATCTACTTATATTCATTTACTACATATTGCTACTTGAACAAGTCTATTCAACGACATTTAAGTATTCAATTCATGTTGTGAGATATGGATCTGCAATGTCGTGTGCTTTTCACAACCCAAAAGTGGGGGGACGGCCCTCTGGCAATTTCATGCAATTTCTACAGACCAACGTCTGTCCTCATTTTCTGTCCTGCTCGGTTGATAAATTAAGCCCCTCCCCCCAGAAACCATGGTTTATTCGGGAATTTCCACATCATTGGGACCATACTGTGGATGGGCCAGCGAAATCCACCACCAATTTTGGATGGTCGAAAGTTGAAATCCTAACAAAATTGGTTTATAAACCCCATTAACTATAGATATATCATCTATAAACCATAGTTATTGGAGTTATAGCCCTATAAATCATGGGATGTAGCAACCACCGACCGTCCTATCAACTGGTGGATTTGTCCAGGTTCCGCGCCGTCGATGCTTCTGTCCCCTGGAGCCACAGTCGGAAAAATCGGCGTCCAGTGGCGGGAGAACAAGTGGTGTAACAAGTGGACTGCAGCCATGAAAAACATGAAAAACCATCCCCAAGTTTGAGGTTTTCGGTTGGGTACCCTCTGGTAGTTTAACAGTTTGCTATTGAAAATGGCTATACAAATAGTGGATTTTCCCATTAAAAATGATGATTTTCCATAGTTATGTTAAATTACCAGAGGGTATAGCCCTAGAAATGGAATGATTTAAGATGACCCCCAGTCATGTTTGGCTAATGGGATGGTGACTGTGGCATTGGATTTGCCACATTACATCTCCAAAATAGACGACTTGAGCATGTAGAAATCATGAGGCAAGAAATATCCTATGGATTCCTATGGCATGTCTGAGATTCATGCGGATTTCTCGGCGACAGTTTCAGGTCCCAGGCGCCTTCTGATTGGAAGCCGCCCGGTGTAGAGGGCACTGCAGGGCCCTCACTCTGCTCCTACATCGGAAACCAGGAAAAAGGAAGTAAAACCAGGTCAATTTGGAATTTCATTGGGATTTCACCATTGATAAGGGAAAATCTACACGAAACCATAGATTTTCCCAGTAAATATGGGCTTTTCCTGTAAAATTTGCCCTTAAACGAATCCATTGATGGTTTCAATCCCCTCAAAAATTGGTTATGATCACTGGGGATCGATCGCACACCAGCAACCACAATCCGAGTAGAAAAAGGTTGGCGTTTGGTCCAACGTTTGCAATTTTTTTGTGCAATGAAAGAGATTGTTTTTGTGGTTTATGGTCATCCCTTGATCGTGGGATTCCAAAAATCATGGGTATATAAATCCTTATGAACATGGACTGATCTTCCAATGTGGCTACCCTCTGGTAAACTAACAGTTCCCTATGGAAAATCACCAGTTTAGTAGGGCAATCAACTATAAATGGGCCATTTTCCATAGCAAACTGTTAGTTTACCAGAGGGTATCTAGTGCAACTTTTGAACACACAGCCCCCCGTTGAGCCCTTTTCCGTTCTCCGTGCTGAAGCCAAAACCCATGGCGGTGGCGCGAAGACCCTGGGCGACAGCCGGTTGTATCTCCAGCTCGTAAGGATGGGTATATAACCTACAAACATATGGTACAATAAACAATACATGTGAAGGGTGGTGTACAACTACTTCGGGTTTGTTTTGGAATTTATTGTATAATATATATATATATACATGTATCTGGATTGCTCCCACCCCAGATGCAAGGGGGGGATCTGGGGAGATAAAGCAGTCACACGACGATTTTTCCCTTGTGGCTGTCATTTACCTAAAATAGGCATGAACATGTCAAAATCTGATTAGTGGTTTCAATGATCTTAAGAAATGTTAGTCGGTTCTGATCATCATCCCGTATAAATAGGTATACGATAACCATTTGTACTAAATAGTGTCCGTGCTTTTTCCTGGCCTCAGTCTTCATCCTGCCGTCGGTGCCACGAGGCCCGAAGCTCAAAGACGTTGCCACATTGGCCAAGGGCATTTCCTGAGGATTGGCCAAGGGCGCAGCCATAAAAATGGGGGGAGAACTTCAGCAGGAAATGTTGGTCGTTTTTGCCACTCTATCCATCGATCCATCCATTCATCGATCTATCTAATTGAATCTATCTACAATGTATATATCATAATATATGCATGTCTGCATGTATACACGTATGCATGCACGTATGTAGAATCGACGAACATGGATGCATATATATATACATCTCTTCAATGTGCCTTGGTCTTATGTTGGTCGAACATGGTCGAACAATTTGCCATCATTTCATTCTAGGTTGTGGATGATGCGGGGTCACCCCTCCAACAAAGTCAACCAACAGCAGCGAGAATGGGGAACACGTATGAGCTCGTGGCATTTTCGGGGACCAATGATGAGATCCTGTTCATATGGGAAGTGTATTTAAATCATGTGGTGTCCCTGGAAATTCTACCCTCTGGTTATTTAACATAGCCATGGAAGCCATGGCCCGTTTATAGATGATTTTCCCAGCTAGAAACCTCCATTTATGGTTGGGATCTTCCATATGTTAGTCATAACCAGATGGTATCAGTCCTAGAACTGAATGAATGGACAACTTACCCTCTGGTAAACTAACATAACTATGGAAAATCACCATTTTTAATCGGAAAATCCACTATAAATCACCATTTTCAATAGCAAACTGTTAAATTACCAGAGGGTACAGGAAAGCACCAATCCAATGAACCAAGGTCCCACGCCCCAAGCTCTGCCCGACGCCGGCGAGTGACTGGTTCCTCCTCTGGCACCGACCACTCCTCATTGTTCTTGGACCGTGTGCGGCGGCGACTGTCCTGGGTCCCCTGGGTGCTGTGAAAGCTGTGAAACTCTTCCCAGGCGACGGTGAGATCTTCACGAAACGAATCGACCATTTGGTTATGACTAACAATTTGCCACGGAAAGATCCATCCATTTTAAAAAACGGTATTATAAACCATCTATTTCGATTAGGGCCATCTATACCATGGCTATGTTAGTCATAACCAGAGGGTAACTCAATTTGTGAGGTCAAATCCAAGTACTATCCGATGGGAACCGTTGATGATATTCCGCTGGATTCAACTCATTTTTTGAGCTCTTCTTTTCCATGTAGCAACCCCGCTGGGCTGTTAAAAAGGGGGAAGTAGCATTCTACAAATGATCACAGATTATCACTTTATACCACGGAAAAGCCCTTCTTTTTTACCCCAGTCATCCCAGCACAATGTCCCTCCGATCCAATTAGAGACTTCCTAAAATGGAGTTACTCCCAAATCATCCATTTTAGACTGGGTTTTTCCATGTAAACCATCCAGCGATAAAGGGGTAGCCTCCATTTTGGGAAACCCAAAAAGGTGCGATTTTCATGTGCCGAAGGCGGCGTTCCAAGGAACGCGACTGGCCAAGTTGGAGGCCGTTCGACTGCTTTCCGGACGATTGGACGGTGTTCGGCTGCCCTCCTGGGGATGCTGCGAGCGTGCACTGTGCAGATCTGAAGATCTCATGTTGTTTTGTACCCTCTGGTTATTTAATATAGCCATGGAAAATCACCATTTTTAAAAACGGTAGACCATCTATTTCTATGGGCCATTTTCCATGGCTATGTTAAATAACCAGAGGGTATATAAAAATGTATCTCAAGTATGATAAGACTGATATTTAAGTTGCCTTTCACTACTGGAAATATCAGTTCTATCAGGTATGTCATTTTGCTATAGATTGATATTGTGGTAAACCCAATGACAATGATGAACCATCCCAAACATCAGTTCAGAAATGGTTGGGAATTAAGCTGATCAACAATCAAAGATCGGGTGATATCGGGTGTTTATGGAATGGCTCTACCACATTGTAGCTGCTACAACAAACATTTATTCCATGTATATTCCCATCAAATTACCCTCTGGTAAACGTTTACATAACTATAGAAAATCACCATGCTATCAATGGGTAAATCCACTATTTCGACTGGGCCATTTTCAAGAGCAAACTGCAACAAATTACCAGAGGCTATACCATCATATATCCCATTAAATCCCATTAAATCACCATTAAATCACCATTAAATCCCATTAAATCCCATTAAATCACCATTAAATCACCATTGAATCACCATTAAATTCCATTAAATCACCATTAAATCCCATTAAATCCCATTAAATCACCATTAAATCACCATTGAATCACCATTAAATCACCATTGAATCACCATTAAATCCCATTAAATCCCATTAAATCACCATTAAACCACCATTGAATCACCATTAAATTCCATTGAATCACCATTAAATCCCATTAAATCACATGAATCCCATTGATAGTTAGTTGTTTACGGGTAAGCCATCCCGTCAAAGTGGTCTCTTTTTTTTTCAGTGTGTCCGATCCCCCCAGACATCCCAGACTCCCTACATCCACCGTGCGACGGTGTAGGGGTGTTAAATACTGGGGGACAGGATAAATTCATGTGGGATATACCCTCTGGTAATTTAACATAGCTATGGAAAATCACAATTTTTAATGGGAAAATCCACCATAGCTATTGAAAATCACCATTTTTAATGGGAAAATCCACTATTTTTGGCTCAAGAGCCGTGTCAGCTCAAAGTTGATGCGTGGCCTCCGGGCCTCCCAGCCCAGGAAACCGTGAAGTGGTGGGGGCTCTTATTGGGGTGTAGCCTTAACCAATTCCTGGCGTAGTTCTTTTGTTGATTTGGTTCCATTTTGCTCCTTCCAACTACACTTGGATTGGCAGACATGTTCTCTTTCTTTGGTTTGATTTCGGCCTGGTCGGCCCTTCTCCTCCTCTGGAGCCCTTGTGCCGTTGCAATGGCATCTCATCAGCCTGGACTGGCGAAAAGATGTCGCTGGGAAACATCTGGCGAGAAGATTGGCATGGAATTGTCAGATAAATGTGAGCTTGCCCTGCAGGATGGCTCTTCCATCCATTCTTTGCAGATGATTTCCAGCGATACTCTCAACCCAGCAGCCAAAGGGATTGTCTTTGTCACCATGACCTCTATGCGGAAACTTCTGAAGTTGGAAACAACCAATCCGTGTGTTGCCATTGTGAAGGGCTTCCAAATCCAGCAGCTGATTAAGTGGGGATTTGAGAAGACAAAGCTTCAGCAGGCCATTTTGGTGCTGAAAGATTCCTGCACCATGGTTGTTGAGCCTAGAGCCGTGACCTTGGTGAATTTGTGTGACGACCCCGCTTGCTTCATCTTCAAGAATGAAGAAGGCTGTGAGATCACAGTTCCTGATCTGCAATCAGTTCATGTCATCTTCGAGATTCGGAAGGCAACGACCTCAGATGATTTCTGGCGAGCTTTCTCTGATTCCTCTGCTTTCTCTAGATACACGTCCCAGATCATTGAGAAAGAAGACCCTGAAGGTGAGACAACATTCTTCCCCACGGCGCCCAGAGAAGGATATGTCTTCAGGCGCCACATTCGTGATCAAGTGTATGCGCATTCTGGCTTCAAAGGGATTACAGTGAAGTCTCTCCGGCAGACCAATTCACCACATGAAGATGGCTTGGAACTGATTAGGGTCCCTGAAACAGGGAAATCTCTTCACGAAATCTGGCACCAGGGACACACGAAGACTGGATGGCTAGGAGCCTTCTCCTCAGCAAAGGCAACTTACATCAGAAGCACAGATGCCAAATTGTCCGAGATGCGAGCGTTTTGGCTCCCTGATGACCCGAGATGGACTGCCAACAATCGAGACTTGAAGCTGACCAAGTTCTTCAAAGTCCAAGGGTTCGTTGTGGGGATACAGGCGAACGACGCTACCAAGATCATGCATGAGAAAGGATGGAACATGGTCGTGCTTCGAACCTTTCAGAACGCCGAATTGTCACCCCTGGTAGTTGGATCAAATTCAGATCCGCCACAATTGCGATTCACTACCAATTTGGGATCCTTGCTCATCACACCCCTAGAAGCACAGGATCGCGGACAGATTGCTAGGCAGAAGTTTGCGAAAGATCAGAGTCTTGCCAAGGCAGGCACTGCCGAAAAGAAGGGTGACACTACCCCCTCAACGGCATCATCAAGTTCCAATCTCGCAGCGGGTGATCCTTGGGCATCTGCAGCCCATGCCAACACAAGTAATCGGATTGATGCTATGGAAAAGAAGTTTGTGACCCTCAGCGCGCAGGTAGAAAAGCTGGAAAAGGGCCAAGAAACCACGAAAGAGCAGATTAGCACCTTGAAAGCCAGCCAGGATTCGGGATTTAAACAACTTCTTGATGCCATTGCTGATCTGAAGCTTTCGAAACCAGGTGAGTCTTTGAGCTCAACCCCGGTTCCATCCCCAGCGCCAAAGGTGGCAAAGTATCATTAAACTTCAGTTTCCCTGAATGTTTTTCTCTGTGTTTGCTACTTTTTGGTGAGATGGTTCTGGGCTTTCTTTGTGGGTTGCAGGGCGTCTCACTCGCCGGGGTGGTTGCTTTGGCTCCTTTCTATTGTGTTCCATTAACTATATGTACCGGTTTGGGACCCTCTGCTGTAAGATACCACCCCGAAAATCTGAACAAGGGCGTTATGCCAGGAAACGCCGCAGTTTTGCCAGAAGAATGTTAGCCAGAAGCGCTCTCAGTGTCTTGCTCATTCAATCTTTTGTAATTCAACCATTCGCGACTCGACAAGCATGCGGCTCTGGCCGTATATTTTTTTGCTGTCATGCCTGCTCTTTCAGTTTTTCACCTGGGCGCAGGGCTGGCCAGCCCCCGCCAAATCTGAACGAGAACAGGACGACACAATTTTGTCGTTTGATGCAGCTCACATCCTTCATGACAAGTTTGTTCTATTTCGCTCATTTGTTTTCCCCATGTAAAGGTTACCCTGGTGAAGGGCCAATGCAGATTGCTACATTAAATGTCACATCATTGCCCAAAAGGCTTGATACAGTCCTTAACTTTGCGAACTCGTGCCCTGATTTGGGTTGCCTCATTCTTCAAGAAACACGAATACCTGCCAGCCGGGTCAATTCTTTGACACTTCGGGCCAGAAATGCTGGGTGGGACCTTTTAGTTGGACATCAACCCCCAATCAGAGCGATTAAGTCTGATAAGGCTTCTTTACGCCAATCATGGGGAGGCCTGGCTGCTTTGGTTCCTCGTGACCACCCAGCACGGCTGTTGTCATTTCAATCTGGGTGGAGCCATCTCGAAAGGGTATGTATGCCACTATGGATTCCTTCTGATGATGGGAGATCAGGATTTGTTGTGTTAAATTGCTACCTACCAAGCGGTCAATCTGTAATTGATGAGCGTGAAACTTTGCTGTCGGATATTTTCAGTTTTGCTTCCATTTTTGACACATCCCCCACAGTAGTTGGAGGTGATCTCCAATATGCTCCGGAGGATTCCAGTGCACTTACGCAAGTATTGGCTTCCAATCGGTGGTCAGATTTTTATGCTGATTGTTGCAGATCCAGGAACTTAGAGCCCGAGGCCACCTACTCAGGAAATGGGTGGGCGTCAGGTTTTCGGGGTTTGAGAAAAACTCGAATCGACCATCTCTTTTTGAACGACTTGGCAAGATCAGCGGCAAAAGAAGCAAGCATCTTTCGAGGTCCAGTTGCGCCTGGTCACTGTCCAGTCGTTATAAGATTAGAGTGCCAGGTTTTCCATGAGATGGTTTTTGGGCTTAAACAACACCCTCAGTGGAACCTTCCCCCCAAACCTTGTTCTCAAGAAGAATGGGATGAAAGGGATGCAATTTGCCACCCGATCCTAACAAAGTATATTCCTTCGTTTGTTCGGGCAGCTGAAGAGGGTGACCCCCAAACTCTCTGGGATAGTTTGACCCGTATGATGCACGAGATGCTAAACTGTATAACTGGCCAGTTCATTCAGTCACGTAGGGGTGATATTCCGGTTTTCGAACAAAAGCCATTCCTTCCACCACCGTGTAAGCAAAATCAATATCAACAAGTTTCTTTAAAGATTCGTAAGCAATTGCATGAATTGTCCAAGAAAAACCAGCAGAGACATGAAGATAATCCTGTTTGGATGACTCACCTAAAGAGGACTTTGATTAATACCTCCAAGGGTTTGGGGACTTTAGGGTGCACGGTTCCTACACAAGGGTTCTCCCAACAACAAGTCACTGAATTCCTTAGTGCTGCTAACCAGGCATTGACAACATGTGATCTCGACAAACAAATGCAGGACTCCACTAAAGCCATCCATGAGTGGAAAGATCGACTTAGGATTTCCAATTCTGCGGATAAGAGGGAAGTTTTTCGATGGTTAAAAGGGGTTACCCCTTCGCACCCCAAAACACTTGTTCGCCCTGATGGATCCTTAACTGGGAGCCCTAATGAGATTCTTTCCCTCCTGAAAGATCATGCTGAAAAGATTTATAACCATCATCGGAATACCAATGAAGATGCACTTTTCGCACAATTTGTAAATATGTTTCAGGATGAAATCAACAGTTTGAAGAATCCAACTGAACTTCCCCCTTTTGATGCGGTTAACATGTGGAAACTTTTCCAAAAAAACCCGCCAATAAAGCCACGGGTTTGGATGGATGGAAGATTAAGGAAATTCAAGTATTGCCACCGTGCGCATGGAAGGCCATCAAGCTTTTCTTCACTACTGTTGAAGCTAGTGGGAAGTGGCCCAAATCATTTCATTTGGTTTCCATTACTGCCATCCCCAAAACCCATGAATGGACCCCTGAATCTACCCGGGCCATTGGAATTACGTCAATTTTCTATTCCTTCTGGGCATCTGTCCGCTTCAAACAATTGGCGCCATGGTTGGGAAATTTGGCCCCCCCTTCACTCGCGGGCGGATTGCCCCATAGATCGGCTACCCCTTCAGAAATCGAATTATCTAGCCACTTGTTTGATTCGGACGAAGCCCCTGACAACACTTCTATCGTTATATTTATTGATCGTGGAAATGTTTCGACCTGTTGCTGCCAAAATTTTGTATTCAACTCGGATCCACTCTAGGATTACCATCTCATATATGCCAACCGCTTACAGACTTCTATAACCATCAGGTCAAATTCTTCAAGCTCAATAACGCTTACGGAAATCAGGTCCTCCATTCCAACGGGGTCGTGCAGGGTTGCGCCTTTAGTGTTTTGTTTGCTAACCTGATTTTCTCTGTTTTTGCGAAAAGGATTGAGCAGTTTCCAGGGGTAACCTTCTCTGCGTTCATTGACGATACAAAGCTATGGGCTAGTAAGCAAGACCTACCTGAGCTCATCAAAGCAACCACAGTTCTCGAAGCTTTTGACCAGGCTATTGGCCAAGTTCAAAACAATGCTAAGTCTGCGCTCCTAACCAAAAAGGCGAAAGACGCCGACAGATTTCTCCTCCAAGTAGGCAAACAGATTCCCCACAGAAAGCGTGTCAAGTCTTTAGGGTTTCAACAAGCAGTGACGACAAAGGGACTTGCTAGAGCCGTTGACCTGAAAACGAAAGCAGCTGCTGCAACCATTCGGAAAATGGGCAAGCTTCCATTTCCAGCCAAACTCAAATCAGGATATATTAAAACTGCAGGTCATAGCCGATGGTTATATGGGTCTGAAGTTGCCCCCCCGAATAAGAAAGCATTTAATTATTTGAGGACAGCTGTTGTCAATACTGTTTTCCCAAAGAAAAACCGGATGAGATGCCCTTTGTTGACCATGTCTACATGGGATAATGTTTGGGTTGATCCTTGGGCTATTTGGGTTAGACATGTCTTGCTCACATATAGAAAGTTACACCGCCGTCAGCCCGACTTGGTGGCAAAAGTTTTTCGTCAAGCCCGACAGATCAAACCTTATGCCATTCGAACTTCCTCTGGCGCTCCAGCGGTTCTGGCCGCT